TCTTTTCAGCATAATTTTCAAAAAAATTAAGCTCCTAGGACCTCTCTTCTTTAAGAAAATGTTTTCAGATAATTCAACCTTTCACATATCAATGGCTGCTAGAATCATAAAAAGAGAGACAATCAGATTATATGCCTCTCTGATGAAAACTTATAATGGTAGTTATGAAGTATTTTTGCCAGTATATCAAACCTGAATCATATCTAGACCCTGTATCTAAATAGTAAATTGCAATAAATATAGATGACTGAGAAAAATGTTAAATGTCATCAAGCATTCTGCAAAGTCCAGACTTCAGGAAACCACAGAACTAACAACGTATCTCCTGCAACAAACAAAATAAAAGGAAAAGGGAGAAAAAAGATAGGGAACAAAGGAAAGATAGGGAAGATAGGGAAATATAGATTATAAGAAACTGGTACCAATTTCAACATGTTGATCTTAATTTTATCCTTATTCAAATAATTAATTAATAACAGTTAAAGGAAATAAAAAGTGATAGGTGTAAAAATTGGAGGAGATTCTGTTATGAATTGAATTGTGTCCCCCCCCAAAAATACTCATGTTAAATCTTTAACCCCAAGTATCTCAGAATGTGACTATATTTGAAGATAGAACATTTAAAGAGATGACAAATTTCAAAAAAGTCTGTTAGGGTGGGCTCTAATAAAGTCTGACTGGTGTCCTCATAAGAAGAGAAAATTGGGACACACAAGAAATACCAAGGGCTTAAGTGAACACAGGATGACTGTGTGAGGAGGCATTAGGACAATGACCATCTGCAAGCCAAGGGGAGAGTCCTCTGGAGAAACTGAAACTGTGAGAAAATTAACTTCTTTCTTTAAGCCATCCAGCCTGTTGTACTTTGTAATGTCAGCCTTAAGAAGCTAATACGCTAAAATGATGAATACATCCATGATGTATTCTACTAAACTTAAGAAACATGTAAGGGGATATAGAAGGAGATAGACTATGGATCCTGGAGCAATAAATCTCTCCTGATGAAATGGAGAAAATCAAGCCTCCTGGTGGGAGGTGGTTCATATATAGTCTGAAAAAGCCACAGAAAATGATTTCAAACTTTTTCTCTCCCCACTTAGAAACACTGTCTTGGATTCAGCTATATGCAAGTTATGTCACTCCTTCTCTTGGTCACTCAACTGATTCTATTCACACTTTTATAGTGAGTTCCTATATCATTTCACCAACTAGAATATAAACATCACCAGGGATAATACTGGAACTGAGTTTATTCATTCACTTTTATTTACATGCAAAATGATTCCAATTTACCATCTACTTTCTCTCCCTTCTAGCTTATAAATTATTTATGCTATTAAAAGGCATAGCTATGACAATTCCAAGTTTCAGCCATCCTCTATTTTCCCATCTGTTCCAGACATTAACAATGTGTATATACTCCTAGAGACAGCTGGGTTTCAGGAAGAGGTTAAGATGTTTTGTTATCTTACTCCATTGTCCAAGACAAGTGTGCTACTCTATTATGTGTAAAATGTCATCTTTGAAGTCTGTTAAGTGTATGCTGTGAGGTGAGCCACCTGGAATATACAGTATAGACTTGAAAACAATTATAATCCAGTTTATTGCTTTTTTCTCCAGTTAAGCCTACCATGACTGCTGCTAAAAACTATGTCATATAAAGGATAGCGACTCTGAAGCTATACAGGTTAGATGCTACCTCTAACGATGATTAGCTAGTATGTAAGTTACTTAACTTCCCCGATATTTTTGTCTTGTCTGTAAAATTAAGATACTAATGCATGCTGCGTAGGGGTATTATGAGGATTAAATAAAACAATAATTATAATACTTGTAAAGTACTTGGAACAGAGTAGACAATAAATTTCCCCTATCTTTTAAATATAGAGGATATTTAATATTCTTTACATAAATAATATAAGATTATCCAATGATATTTGGAAACCAGATTGAGCACTTTGGTTTTGTAAAGAAGTTCGTTGAACTTTCATGTGCTTTTCTTTGAATTTCACAGGAGAAAAGGCTTTGAAAGATTAAGTTTGAAGCTTCCTCAGGAATTCTCAGCCTGGAGTGGCTTGGGACCACCCAGACAAGCTTCTAGGGGAGAGCTGTCCGTGGTGCTAGCAATCGAGCATACCCCTGGCAACATCTCCCCTACCCGAAGTTCCTTTCCCGTCAACTTCCTTAGTGAAGCTCACATATCTGTCTGATGGTAGCATCTCAGTCATTCTGCACACTGGGTCTTCACCTTTGTTACTACCTTTTACCTATGCCCCTTAGATATAGATATATATAGATATCTATATATAGATATATATATCTATATATATATATGTCTTCCATCTCTTTATCACCTCCAAATAGTTTTTGTTTTTCAAACACTTTGTTCATGTGTACCACTTAAGACGGTGACTCAAAAATTGACTTAAGCTATCTTTTCTTAACCTTTTTGTTAAGTTTCAGCAAAATCCAAGGTAAGAGCACAGAAAACAGTTAACTTCCAATGCATTCTTAAAAGACTCTATTCAGCTGGCAATTCCTCTAAGATACTTTCCCTGAACCTCCATCTTGAGTTATGTTCTCTTCCTTCTTACTCCCCAAATATCCTGTGAACACAAGTCTCACTACTAAATTGAAACTCTCTACTTATTAATTTTGACTGAAATTAGGGAGAGTTTCCTAAGCGCTAGGACCTGTGTCTTAGTCAACTCTGAACTCCTGAGCAGGCTGGACTAAGTTTTGTTGAATTAAATTTAATGACTGGATCCATTAGAGGAAAGGTTCCAACAACACTCCTTTAAAAGGCAACCTGCCTTGTGACATGTGGCTGTGCACTAAATTTCTGGGTAGCTAGGCTGTTCTGATAAAGGTATTCTGGTCTGAGCTCATTTGCCACCATACCCACTTATATCAGTCTCGTGAGTGAGCCCCTGAGAGTGACTAGCAAAGAACTAATGCCATTCATTTCAAAGACTGGCTTTCCACTGTCTATCTTCTCTCTTCCTGTTCCCACTCTACCCACATACCTGTAATTCCCAATATACTGCATGGGGACTGGCCCCAAAGACTAAGCAAAAACAACTCATTGGTGCTTCTCACCTAAAAGTAGATGTCTATTCCTCTGGCCACACCAAGGATTGGAGCCACCACCAACAAACAATGGGACAATTTATTTTTTCAGAGAGGAGTAGAGGCTCAAATAGAGTAAAAAGTAGAGTACTTAAGACACTAACAGGCTTAGTTTACTAGCTGGGTGTCTCAGTTGTTTGGAGCATGACGCATATGCCAAAATGTTGTGGGTTCGATCCCCAGTCAGGGCATGTATGGGAGGCAACCAGTGGATCTCTCTCTCCCTGCCCCCCGTCCTCTCTCTCTAAAGTCAATAAACAATCTCAGGTGAGGATAAAAAATAATAAAATAAAATAAAATAACTGGAACCTAAACACTGCAGGTGGAGTGAGAAAGAGAAAACTGTTACTAATACTGCCTCCTTCTATTCATCCAGATGGATTTCTACTCTTTTGAGAATCAGTCAGTATATCTTCAGCTGTAACCACCCCTTCCATGGATTATCCTTTCTTTAAAGAGCTCCTCCTCATTCTACAGTGGTTTGAGGTGAGGGGAATCCAACCTAAGAGATGCTAGAAGAAACATATGGAGTCTCTCATTTGTAAGTAAGAAAGCAATTGCCCTTTCTTTAAGTCTTCCTCCTTCACACTCTGAACCAAAAACAATGTGGTAAATAAAAACTATTCAGTGTTAGAAGAGATCCACTTTCATGTAGTTCATCACCAAAATTTTTAGGCAACAGGCACAGAACTTTTGTTTCTCTCCCTATTTCAATCAAGCATCAGCTATAATTTTTTAAATCTTTAAAGCAATGCAAATGTTAATTCAAACTCACCTTGGAAGATTAGGAAGAAAAGAAAAGCACTTTGCCTTTAAATCTTCAGAAGAGGATTTAATGACAGGTTCAGCCTGTTTAATATCAGGGCCAGCACCACACCCCTGTTTTATTATGTTTCATTATTACTGCATAAATTTCCTTTATTACTCATGACAAATAAAAATCAAATACTTGCTGAGGTGGGTTTTAATAGGTAAGAGTGCAAACAAAAATAAACTGTTCAAATATCATGAAAGTGGGATCTCAGATTCTTAAAATATATGTTTATATTTTAAGTATCTACTGTGTACCAGCTTTTGCCACTCTCAATCTCAAACTAGTTTTTTTAAAAGGATTGGTACCCATTATTCAAAGATGGAAACAGTGAAAAGCACACTCGAAACAGGAGTCTCAGGATTTTTCACTGAAACTGATTCTTGATTGATTCAAATAGGAAAACACACCCAAAAGAAAACCTCAACATATGAAGCTAGTGAAGTTCAAGTACTACGTGGGGGTGGGGGCATAAATTTAACCTGCGTGACAGGTGCAGAACTGTCACTTTCAAACATCTTAAGAGAGACAGTAATTTTAAAAGCCTCTTTCCCAGCCATTGACTCTATAAGGAGCAACTAATGTCTCCAGCGTGGGAACAGTGGGCCCAGCCAGGGCTGAAGGAATAAAACTCCTCTGCATCGTCTGCTGGAGGGAGCTGAGCACGTTGATCCGACGCTTCCAAAAACTTAGCGCAGACTTCTGGACACCCTGCGCGTAGCACAGTGGCCTCCGTGCTCCCGGAGTCTGGCGCATGCGTCCGAGCAAGGTCTGGGCTGGCTCTCCCCGCCACAACCGGGTCCCTACCTAGTCATCAGGAGCGTCATCTGTTGGCCCGCCTCCTGGCCAGCAAGCTGAAATTTGCCGGAGCCCGCCCGCAGGGCAGCGGGAGGAGCCTAAGGGGGTGGGGAGAGCCCTGCCGGGCGGCCCAGCTGGAAACCGTTTCATTCCTAGCCGGCTTCTCTCTCCGCCGGAGTAGAGCTCTCCAGAGAGTTGAGGGCGTTGCAAGGCGCCTGCACTGCAGCCGGGGTTGCTTGGCGCTCGGCTGGGGCAGCGTAGGGCAGCGCGAGGCGCCTTTTCCAGGGAGCGGGGCAGGAGCGCCCACTAATTCGCGGGCGCCAGGAAAAGCCCAACTTAACGACGGGCCGTTTGGCCTTTGCACCAACCCCCGAGTCTCAGACGGACGGCGAAGGAGACTGGAGCTGAGCGGAGCTCTCCCGGGGAAATTAGAGCTCTCCAGGTCGAGTTGAAGAGGGAGGGAGGAGTGTCGTGTAGCTCAAGGCCAGCGGTGGATCTTCCGGGCCAGTTTTTTCTGGTGGCTGCGAAATGTGGGAAGAGGACAAGATCGTGCTCGGCGGTGGCAGCAGCGATGCGGTTCTGACCAGCGCCGCGGCGCGGGGGCAAGTGGAGACTGTGCGGCAGCTCCTAGAGGCCGGTGCGGATCCCAACGGAGTCAACCGCTTCGGGAGGCGCCCGATCCAGGTAACTGGGACCCCGGGTCCTCGCCAGCAGGGGGCGCACGAACGCGGGGCGCGGCTTCTGCGGGACGCATCTGGGACCTAGGTCTCCACTGTTTCTCTCTTGCTAGAGGTGTGGAGCTCAGGTGTAAAGCAGATTTTCATCCATCAAAAATCCTAAAGAAAGGGAATAAAACCCCCACTGCTTCAGTTTGATGGAGTTTTGTTGTTGTTGTTTTTAAAGGATGGAAAAAATATCAACATATCTTCTCCCTTCTCTGGATCAGAGAAGCAAGGTATAGATTCAATTGGGGAAGAAAAGGGGAAAGGGAAAGGTTACTTGGGTCGAACTGTTTTGTCTTCTCTAATGTCTACTTTCAGCGATACCGATAAATTACAACTTACGCATACTGGACAGTATTTAAGGAATCACACAAAATCATACCACATGAAAAAATTAAACGTGAACTTCTAAGCTGTGACATTAAATTCCTTGTATTTTTTCCTTCTACAGGCAAATTGATCAAAAGAAACAAGATTCCTAAGCCACAATACTTAATTTATTATCTCTTGAGTGTTACATAAGAAAAAGATGCTTCTATGGATTTCTATTGTTTAATTACTGTACTGAATGCCTGTATTACAAAAGCATTCCCAGCAGCAACTGTTATGTCCTTTTTAAATGGAAAAGAATCTTCATAAATAAACTTCTTTATTGTTAAAATACATGTATTCAATGTTTGTTATTCCCACATTAATTAGTACTTATATTTTTTTAATTCCTTTAAAATCTAAGGTGATGTTTTTGTGCTTTACTGTTGATTATTTTGGTCATAGTATTCACCTCACCATCACCTTCCAGACCCAAGCTTTTATTAAGGAATCTTGTTAATAGTGTAGATTTTAAAGAAAAGATGTATTCATTCCTTTTGAATTCTTATATAAATATTACAAGAAATGAGGGATGGTTCAAAGCAGCAAAAATATGGTAAAGTGGGTCTTAAAGATTTAAAACTATACTAATAGTTGTATAAATAGGTTTTCTTTATCATTTTAATTCATCATTTTCTGAGATATTAAGAACCCTTCTCTATATGTGAAACAGCCTATCACCAACAAGATATGTTGGTTTTTAAGCAAAAAAATGGGTGCTTCTAATATTCAGGAAACAAAAGTGTTAGTATACTATCTTTCAATTACATGGTGCATTTTAAAACCCAGTCACAAGAACAAATAATTCCATATTAGATATTTATCAAAAATTGTCTTATTGTTAAAATAAGTAAATGCTTGCATAATGTATTTGTATACAAATGTGTATTGTAGAATTACTGCTCCAAACATCATTTTTCTAAGTTACACGTTCTGATTTTCTAAGTTACACTTGGCTGTTTTAACTACTATCAGCCAAGTTCTTTTTATATAGAAAAATAATTACTATTTAACATTATAAAATCCTGTACAATGTAAATTAGTGTTTATTTTGTTATATTAAATATATTACCCTCTAAACTTTAGTACTTCTCCATAACATTAAGTATTTAAAGTGACCTATTTATTAACAACTTTTTTTCCTTGGAAAACAATGTGTCACTGTCTTTACTTTTTCCCTTATATCTCCAATTTTGGCTAAAGTCGTAGGACCATATGTTTATAAGCATAGACATATATGACTGAAAAGCAAAAGCCTTCCACAGGGGATTTACTATGCAAAGTAAACTTTATTTTAAATTTAGTTGTTTCTTATTTTCTCCCCTAAAGCATTACTCTAAATTCTGTATATACATCAGCTGACTGCTATTCTATTAAAGATTTTTAGACCCGGATTATGGCTGAGTGGGGAGAGCAAGGGAAATAATTTAAGACTTTAAAAACCTTTAAACTTAGCGCCATTTTTTTTCTTTTTTTCTCACAATGACAAGCAGTTTATCATCAGCTTTTTCTTGTCTCAGCACGCTGGGAGAAAAAAACTGAACCTCAGTTAGTAAAGAGTGTAACTGGGGCCGTTGAGGGGACTGGGAAGGGGAAAATACTGCATCAGCAAATGAAGCTTAACCAGACTCCGGAGGCTTGTGAGCACCTCTGCTTTAAGTGGATACTTCATGAATAGATATTTCTTTGGAGCGGCTCTATCGGTCCCTGCCCAGGTCTGCATCTCACTGGCCCCTCACACTGACCGTTCTGCTCTCTCGACAGGTCATGATGATGGGCAGCACCCGCATAGCAGAGCTGCTGTTGCTCCACGGCGCGGACCCCAACTGCGCGGACCCCGCCACCCTCACCCGACCCGTGCATGACGCCGCCCGGGAGGGTTTCCTGGACACCCTGGTGGCGCTGCACCGAGCAGGGGCACGGCTGGATGTGCGAGATTCCTGGGGCCGCCTGCCCGTGGACCTGGCTGAGCAGCAGGGCCACCGGGACATCGCCCGGTACCTGTGCGCAGCCGCAGGAGACTGATGGTGGGTGCGCCCAGCCGCCCACAGTGACTTTTCTTTTCTCCCCGGTTCCCCTTCCCCAACTTAGCCCAATAAAGGCTGCAAACGTGGAGCTGCGGAAAGCCTGAAAGCCTTCCTGGGCGACCGGATTCCTCGTGGGAAAGGAGGGGCAGGCCAGAAGCAAATCAATTTTTTTTTCCTTCCTGGATCTCACCGCCGACACTCTCCGTGAAGCCAAACGCGGAGAGGTGGGGCCCGTGGATTTTCAAGATTTGGGAATGAAATATTTAGTGCCCAGGTTTACTTTGAAGGTTTTTCTGACCAAAAGTGGCCTATGAAAAAGTCCACAGAGGACCTCTTGTGATGGGGGCAGAGTGGGAGGTCGATGAGATGGTCACCCCATTGACCTTGAAGCAGCCCCGAGTTCTGACCTCAAAACTCCGGGCCCCTCCGGGCTTTAGGTCATAGGGACTAAAAGGGAAAAAATGAAGCATGAAGACCAGAAGACAGCGATAATGGTCCCTGTGGGCTGCAGCAGTTACCCAGTGCTCTGCAGGCGTGCGAGCAAGTCCCCTGCAAAACCGTATTCAATGAAGTCCTTGGAGACAGCGCCACCGAATGGTGACGGAGAGAGAGGATGGGAACCAACCACGCATATTTGCCCTTCTGTTTGACAATCCGTGGGCAAGTTAAGGCAAGTCAGCTCTCAGGCAGGGGCGGGCACTGGCTGCTTTGGCGTTCAGTCCAGGAGAGTTTCCTGTGGCATTTCAGATGGCGGCGAACAGAATGAAGTGGTGGGTCGTAGCAAGAGAAACTGTAGCAGTTAACTAATGGCTTGCTTTATTTACATGATAGGATACAGAAACACCCTTGTAAATCACCACTTGAAAAGACTTCGTGATACTTAGTACATACTTCTGAGTTGTTCTTCAGTACCAGTCTTATTTAATGGGGAGACTTTAAACAACAAAGTACATAACTCGTGGCCCTTGGTAAAGTGATGAAGAACTATAGCTCTTAAGTGAAGCTATTGAAGAGTGTCAACGCCTAGATTACTTTCATCCTTAACCTATTTATTTCTTTGTTAAAGTTTCTGTTTCCTTTTCTAGGCTGTAGACTGTCTCAGGGGACCAAACTGCGAACTATTCCAAATGTCTTTTACAAGATCAATGCACTTAGCCAGTAAATTATCTCTGGGCATTTCCCAAAGAGTTGCTGAAAGAACAGACTGAATATAAAATTGTTGAAAATACATGATTATGACTCGTGGAGTGTCTTAATATCTACTAAAGATGCACTGCTTTGTAATTTAATTCCCAATGTTGCTTAATTCATTATAGTATTTAAACAACTGTTACTTCATTGCTTAAATAAAGAGCAATACGGATTGGATTCCAAGATGTGAGTAAATTACCTTTAAAAAGTATGTTCATGGATTTACCACTAACTCCTGAGAAATGTTACAGACTCAAAAATTTATAAAAACTAGTTACACATACAGTGAAAAATTTACATGCAGTGTGTGTTGTATGAAGACAAGAGGGAACAGAAAATTAATTTGAGAGGTTTATAGGAAGACGTGTCTTTGAGCTAAATTAAAAAATCTTTACCTCTCCATCAGTTCTTTATTCCACAAATGAATATCATTGGAGAAGCTTAGCTGAGAATTAGAATATACCTTATTGGGAAAAATATACAAGCATTTATTAATGCATAACCTGTGCCAGGCATGCTTTAAAATAGTTGTTCATTTAACAGTTAAAATAAAATAAACTGGGAGATAGGTATTGTTTCCTGGATGAGAAAAATGAGAGAAATATCAAGTAGCTTGTCAAAGGTCATAAGATATTCATTCCAGAGTTGTACAAAGTAACTCTTGCGAGCTCCAAAGGTTATGGTTTGGTTTGGTTGGATTTTCCCACTGCACTATTCTGTTGACCAAAATGATTAATGATAAATACAAAATCAACTAAATATTTTTTGAAGCAGAAAATATTACCAATGTTTGTGCAAATCTCACTCCCTGACCTTCATTCCAAGAAGATCTGGAAGTGAAATAAATTCAGAATTCATTTGGCCTCATTTTTATATTTCCTTTTTCAGCTGTGGTGATGGATGAAAAAAAACAAGTCTGGTTTACTATGAAAGCAAAATCTATTAAAAATTTCCTGTGCTCTAATTGCTACAATTAGTCAGTTCAGTCTAAGGAATGAAACATTCTAAAAGAGAGCTTAAGATCCGTAAGATTACAAACTGCTTTGGGGAAGGAAGTGTGTATATATGAATGCTTTTGTGGTATTTTATTTCTGTATTATGGTAAACACAATATGGTGTCTAAGACCAAATAATTTATCTTATAAAGCTAGGTAACTGACTTTCGGCAAATAAAACTAATTTAACTTATACTTAACACTGACATTCTATATTGCCTTTCTTTTATGGGAAATGTTAAAAACAAACTTTGTGTTAGTATGTGAATCAATAAGGATTTTTTTTACCACCTCTATAATTACTCTCAATTATTTCAAAAAAGACATGCTTATTTTCCTTTTATGCTTTATCAGACGCTGATTACTTTCATAATAGGGAATAATTTCTCCAATGTTCAAGACATTGGCACTTTACCAAAAGAAGAGCAAGTAAAATTAGTTATCTACAAAAATGATAGAATCCGTCTGAAGGAGCACTCTTGTGAACTGCCTTCTCTAGCAAATACAAGAGCCAATGTTATCTAAAGTAATCTCATTTTCACTATTAACAATTTAGTTATTTTGTGAAAATCTGAAGAATAAATTTTAGGTTGGTGTAATTTCACAATGTCCAATTACTAAGCTACAAACAATGATTGATAGACAGAACATACTTAAAATTTAATAAAAAATTAATTACCTGAGAAAGCAACAGCAGTTTAATCACAATACATTCACCCTCCTTTTTTTTTTTTTTTTTTTTTTTTCTATTTTTAACCCCAGGTAACAAAGAGCTAAATGGATGAAAGAGAAATTAAGACCTGGGTTCCACTTTTGGTTCTTCAACTAATTAAATACATGACTTACTAAGCCATATAAAAGGTGGGAGTTGGACTATATTACTTCTAAGTTCCCTACCATCACTAAAGTTTTATCCCTTATGTGTTTGTTGCGTACATGGCAGGGGGGAGCTGATATGTATTAGTAATAATTTTGCCATGGTATGAGAGGCAAAGAAAGATATATAGAGATGGAAAGGAGAGACACATTTTAAAATTCTAAAGCCCTAGGAGGAAAGCATCTTTATAAGCACCACCTCCACCAGTTTGTTGGAAAATTACAGACAAGTTTGTGGAAACTGAGACAGAAAAGATGCTTTGCAAAGCAAGTACTTAGTTTAATTTTAAGGTCTTTCTCACCTCCTCTTACCTCTGATTTTTCCTGATGCCTTTTGCATTTCTCTCATGTCACTCATAGCCACCAGGAGAGTTAGTTTCTTAAAGTGCGATAAGCAAGTAGATCCAATATATTTAGAAAATAAAGCTGAAGTAGGTGGTTACAAACCAATATAAATGTTCTGAAAGAAAAAGTGGTCTTTAAGTGAACATGCTATAACAAAGGATTCTGACCTAAGTGGGGCTGGTGTGGGACTTAGAACCTAAAGAAAAGGTTGGGGATATTAGAAGAAACAGAAAGTACAAAGGCAACGGAATGCTAACATATGTAGAAGAAGTCATTAGAAAGTGAGCAACTCTCTGTAAACAGCTGTCATGGATTTTACACACCCATTTCAAAGGGTGAGGAGTTTCTGGTTTGTTTCCATCTGTTTCTTTGAAACTTTAGGTCCTTAAATTTTGCCTGGGTGGTAGTAGAAACCAGCTGTTCAGGAAAGAGTTCCATAAATGTGTACATGTCAGCCATTTCAAAAGGGTAGAAAATGAGGTAAAAAGAAAGCAACAAAATGAATAGAAGAAAGAACAGCATGGTAGTGTTTTGTGGAACATGATTCAATAGTTCAACAGAATGAATCAAATAAAACCAAAACAAACTATATAGTCCACATGCAGATGGGATCTGTGAAATGTTTCCAGGCTTAAAATAATGGGAATCTGCTCATTCCCTACTGTCTTGATTTCTATAAAACTTTTCCTAAATTCAGCTATTATAAATGTGATGACTCCTTTCTTGCCTCTTTAATCCCCCACTCAGAATATTTTAATATTATACTTTGCATAAGGAAAACTATATTATAGAAATGATTATTATATATCATCCCTTTATTAATTACGTAATTAAGGAAAATTTGCTTTGAAGCCAATGCTAATGAAGTAAGATGTGACATGCATTACATATTAAGCACAGTAATACAAATCAACATATATGTCAAACCTGAGCACACGACTCTGATTTACAAGTTTGAAGTTTGAAATAAATATAAACCAAAGATTTTGCTGGTAAAAAAAAATAAAAAGACCTATGAGGGATATATCTACATTATACTTGAAGTTTACAAAGAAACCCCAAACACTTATCAATCCCATTCCCACTTAGAGGAGCCTGGTTTAGGCCCCCAGTAGATATAGAGAGTTAGTAGGGGCACAGAAAATATTTTATAACAGTTAAACAAAATGCATAATCTTCTGTTTAGCTGCCCTCTCAATTTGAAACCATTATGATAGAGATGGTGCTACTTCCTTTGAACTCTTTCATATTTGACCTCTGGATTACCGTACAATTTTAAAGAAACTGCCCTCTACTTTCCTGTCCCTTCACAAATGTCTCCATCTCCTTGCTTTAGATAAAAATTGTGTCTCCCTGAGAATTCCACTTTCTTCTGCACCATATACTAGGAACTGGGCTATGCAAAACAGAGAGAGATTCAGGACCAGTAATGAGTGTATACTGCTTGGATGGCTTTCTATAGTCCAAAACTAAATATATAAGGATTATCTATCTTTCTTCAGGTTTCATTTATCTCTTAGTGGAAATAACTGCATTTTGTTTTTATCAGATTGAGCTATAATTTCAGTATTGTATTACATATTTTATAATGTCTATAAGGCATAACATCTAAACATAAAACAGTAAGCAATTTATTCTGTTCACAGACCCACAGATAGCTCAACAGATACTGCAACACATGGAGTTTTCTTCTGAAGGGTAAGTGTTGGAA